AGGAGTTACTGACATGCTTCAGACACGGTCTTTGGAAAAAAACGCCGAACATTTCCCGGTGTTGGACAATCTGTGCCAACTGGTTAACTCACCCTCTAACCCTGAGAGAGCTGGTGACCCTACGTTCAGCTCAGATATCTCCACTCTCCCTTTGTTTTGCTAAACGAACAACTTTATAATTTCCCGTTCGATCAAACTCTCGCGCCTCGACCCTCTAACCACCTCAGAATACACATTTTCGGAGGTAGGGACAGCTTTCGTAACTCTGAAGTATTATCCTTGGAACCGACTTCGGACATCTCTTGCTTCACCGACATTGCTTTTCAAGTTACGCATCTTTTTATTCCCGGAACTCTCGAATACTCCTGAGAGGATTAATTCCGCATGTGATCGTACACCTAAAACAGCCATAGGTCCACCGTTCGCCAGTTTCCACCTTCCGCTAGTTGGAAACAGATGTTCGTCAACGACGCGGAAAACCGCAAAAAAGTTTATTCTGCTACCAAGCCTTGGCCGCCAACGGTAGCCGAACATTCCGTTCCTTTGTCAAAGCAGTTTGCTCGCGATTTCCGTTCTTTCACCGGTACTTACGCTGGTGATCTTGCACGCNNNNCGCGAACCCCAAGAGAATTCTGAGTATTTCGCCTCTCAGTTCACCTCCAACTCCACCGTACCCAATTATCCTACTCATCCGATGTATTTCACCACTGAAACCTCGTTCTTGCCGAGTGATGCTCGGCACCAGGATGATCCGCTAAGCGCTGCGCTCTCCGAATGCAAGCAAATCACCGAATCCGGACGATGTATTAGCCANCTGCCGCGTTGGTTTCAGTTTTACTCACTTACTCTGATCTTCTCGCCGGTTTGCTACTTTTCCAATCCTTTGAAACACTGCGATTCCTCCTATTCCCGAGTACAGTAGCCTCTACGGCCCAAATAATTACTGTTCAATGTCCCTCAAATCAGTTCCCTCGCAAGTACTCGGCGTCCAACGTTGTGCGTGACCAGAATGTGACGAACTGCTGAATAACCGCGAAAACGGCTCCCGAACACGTCGCAAAATCTTGGTTTGGTGCATTCGATAGCCACGGAAATCACTTGATCGCATCCGACATTTCAAAGGCTTTCGACCAAGCTCGGTACGAAGGCCTCAGAACAAACTAACCGGGTATGGATTCCCTTTGATTATGGGTCCGTGGATAACAAGTTTCAAAAACTGATTGACAAGGCACGTGACTGGTTTAACCCAGCATGTATGTAAGGTCATCCGAAGTAGACAGTGAGTGGAAAATGCCAAACTTAGACACTAAATGAGGATACGATAGCCCTGACCAGGCTACGCAGTCATATACGTCGCGTTAGACTCCCTGGATGGGGACCTCGGGATCATCGTAATCGATATTTGTCGCGGCTGTCGTAAACAATGGTAGTCCCGTATCTACTTAATATCGAGGAAACCATATGAATTCTGTACCTTCTAATTCACAATACTTCCAGCATTTCACCCTTCACTTTATTACTTCAAACAAATGGGTAAGCAAGGGTCAACATCCAAAGTCACAGCACGAAAACGTACGGTTAATGGTTATATAAATATATATGACAATAAGTAGTATGAGAATGACTAGACAAAATTTCTTGGAAGCACACGACCGGTTTCGCGGTTCTTGCCTCTCGTCAGGTATGTGTATCCGGTAACCCTTTGCCAGTTCTTTCATATACTTGTACCCAGGAAGCGTATTTTCGTCACAACCTTGTTTGAAACACCGGGTGACCATTCGATAGACAGTTCTTTCAGAGCCAGTCCATGGGGGAATCAATACTATGATTCGATGTTTTGTAAGTGGGTTAGATGCTACTAACCATAGGCAGCTCTGCCGTCGTCCGGTTCAATACCACGCCTAACCTATCGGGGCCTTATGTGGTTCGCCACTCCAAGTTCCGGGGCTTAGTTAACCGATTTCAACCACTGAACAGCAGGTCTTCGTAACTTTGGGTTTGCCCCGTCTGCTGTTCATAACACCTAGGTGTGTAATAAAAAACGTGACCTGATGGTCTTCGTAGAATATTTCACAATAAGTAAAACGTATATATCACCAAACAATATTCTTTATGAAAACAAAACGTCTCATTATCTGCTCTTGGGCGAGATACTGTCAGGGTGCCCAGACCAAAGTAGGTGAATTTTCTTGGGGTACCCGTAACCGGAGCCTTGAGCTAACGAAAGCCTTACCTGCTGTTCCCGCTATTCCATCATCAACGCGACTGTAGTGCGGCTAGTGTAGCTGGACCCCGTCCTCGAACTCTTCTCCAGCAGTTACGTTGCATTCAGTCTTTGCAAAAGCTTCTTTCAATACCTCTGAAGCAACATTCATTCTCTCTACACTTATCCTTTGATCTTGAAAACTGTTTCTCTCATAGGATAACATAGAACTTGTTTGTTATGTTGGTCCTCTCTTTATCTCCACTTGCTTTTCAGGATTCGTGCAACGTTGGTTTTCTATTCCGCGCCAGACACTTCCTCACCCTAGCTCGTCCTCTACTGAACAAAACCAAAAACTCATCCCGTACCTGAAGACTGCGGCGAGGATGAGGAGACAACTATTCATTCCTTCTTGATCAAGTTCTATGGAAAGCCGAAAGGATAATGGAAAACCCTTCCCTAACTTGCATTTTGCCACCACTAGCCCGTTGTCGGGTAGCAGCTCCGCTAACCCGCTGTAATGCTGTTTTTTTGCCTCAACAGTTCTTCTTCCTGTTACTTTTGCCCACCCATAACGTACACAGGCAGTTAGATATACTTCTCACACCTCATTCCTCGATATTCTTTTTATCCGAACCGTGGAACTATAGAATACTCTCATACTGTTTGCCATTATTTTTCACTCTTTAAGCACAGGATAAAAAACCTGGCTCTTACGTCAATGCCCCACAACGCCCCAAATGGCTTCTGACCTCGAGATTTACTCCCTATTGTGTAGTTCACGTTGCGTAATAAAAGCTTAACCGAACTTTGGTGCACAAGCACAAGTATGTGAACAGTCTCTCCGCCCCTTTATTTCTTCCGATATCTCATTCTCATGGTCCACTATGGAACACAAGTTCGTTATTATGACATTTGGCCAACTAGCACCGTGCACGTGTGTGCTTGTCCATTATAACAGTTCCGCATCAAGTTCAACGCTCCAGTTCAGTCAGCACAGGTCTGTTCACTTTGAACCAAAGACTTTATACTTCGGTCAGTCATTGTAGTCCCCCGGCACCCAGACCTATTGACATTTAGTCCCACAAACATATGGGCATCTCGTACTTGACGCGGTCATCGTATTGGAGAATGGCCAACCATTTACCACCACATAAACCTACAGAACAATGCGTTGGCTAACTTGTCCGTGAACGCATGAGCGTGCGGTGGTGCCCCAACCAAACATGGAGTAAAAAATAGACGGTTGTGACTTCAGTCCTTGATTCTAAGGGGAGTGATGTATCATTCCGCCGTAACTGTCACGCCCGTCCAGTACTGGTGGTGGTAGACAGCACCACAGTCATCCGCCTCATTACCACACTTGTGCTGCTAGAAAGGACTTATGTAGTTCACCACTTCACACACGAGGCTCGGGATGTCGATTTCAGTGAATGAACAACCTACTCTCGCGAATATGCGGTTTACACCTTCTGGTGTTTGCTACACGATCGTGCGCGTTAAACAAAAAAATCGTGTTAATTGTGCGCGATCGACTGTCCCAAGAAAATACTACTACGGTTTGTGTTACAGTCAGCGATCAGCGCATGGACTTACACTCGGGCACGGGAACAGAATGCGCATATGTTGGCACACTTATGCAGGGCCATAGATTCCCGATAATTTTTAGTGATTCTTTATAATTTTTAACTACTGATTCGATCTGCAGTAGTGAAACTGAGATTTCGACCTAAGCTTTTGTTGAGTACGGCTATCTACGAATCCTGAGAAGGCTGAACAAGTGAGAAATCTACCCAAAGATGAAAGTCCCAGTGGTCTGATAGTTTGACAATCGATCTGTCCAGAAAAACATTCATATTCAAGGAAATCATTTTCATCACTGAATATCTCCATAGCACGACATATGGAACTCAGGGAAAGGTTTAAGATTGTTCGTTGGGGTAACACGTCCATACAGTGTACCGGGTTCATATGCAGCTGAAAAACTTGAATGAACTTGCAAAGTTCTGAAATACAAACATCACATTCGAAACAACCAATCAGGATCGAGGACCAGTTCAAACCAGCGATCTGCTACGTCGTGCAGTACTGTGCGATAGCAATACAGACGACAGCCAAGCTCAAAGTCACGTTATTTAATCAGATGTTCTGTAGCCTGAGCTAGGTCCCAATTCTTCATTGAAAGTGCCGTTCGGGATTCATGCTGTAAGAAAGGACAGAAAATCATATGAACAAGAGTTGAAAAAGACTACAAAGTACCCTGAAAAATCAATGTATTATTATCGATGATTGATCTTTATCGTCCTATCAGGAGGTTCACAGAAAGCAACGCAAATCACCTTTTGAAGGTGGGGTGATAACATTAACGGAATACAGCTGATTTACACAATCCCTTTTAACATCAAGTAATCCGTACTTGTAATTCTTACACATCTTGTTTCTTCAGTTCAGAATGTTCTGTGAGACAACAACAACGGTGTACGGTTAGATATCATCATAATCGAGCAGTATACCTGAATAAGAAATACGGTTGAATCCCAAATATAAAACACTACGAGAAGAAAATTTCATTCAATTCGCATATAATACCTAAAACAGAGATTTCACGGATTGCTAGATAGATCTTAAGCAAAAGCAAACATCATGTGACTGATGGAACCACGTTGATCGATCAACTAACTTAACTGAATCACATCATTGTTTATGTGCACTACAAGCAGCATGATACATTTCACACAGATGGCTAAAACAACCTTGGAACATCGCTGACACTAATATGCCATGTATTAGGAATATTTCATACTTCATCAAAGCCCATGTGAACCAATTTTTCAACCAGAGCGTTGCATTCGGGATCCTTGTGGGGTCCATTTGCGTAGATGGCCGCCCAATGTTGGGCCGTTCGTGTAAACGCTTGGGGACTGCTTTTTAGTTGGTTCGCAACAACTGCGTCCTGTGGGTCGTCTGGTTCCGGAGAGGCCAGGAGGGACTGGATGGAAAGAAGGACGGTACGCAAAGACATCGCCGCTGCCCTGAAATCATAAAATCACCATAAAAGAAAATCAGAATTGTGAGCCGAAGTGAATGAAAACTGGAAATGAAATAAAAGAATTATGATGTAATCGTGTCCCGAAAACCGCAAGATATCATTAGCGAAACTTTAATCCGTTCGGGCATTTTTACAGGATCGAAAAGAACATTCTTTCAGACGGGTAGCCGTGACTAGGCCAGAATTAGTTCATTGA